GCTTCACCTCCTTCTCATTCTGCGCCTGGCGAATGCCGAGTTTCCGCCTGGCCAAAACACAACTGTTTGCTGGTTGAAATTCAAAAATAAATGGAAGCTCAAAAGGGCGGTCGGGCAGAAAGATTAGCTGAGACGAGGAAAGGATGGCACGATGCATGGCGTGTATGTGTTGAACGTGCTTGAAACTTCAAATGATCGAAGCCTTCTCATGTACATAACCTAAGCATAGGCCTTCGGTCCTGCTGTGGATGGACGAAATCCATTTCGCACCACTCAAGAAACCCCGGAACGATGATTCCCGAGTAAATACCAATAGACGTTATGGCTTCCCATGGTTTCCAAGTGGTGCGAATGGATTTCGTCCACAGTACCCCGCATTGCTCTCTCTCAGCTCGCAGGTGCCGAAAAAGGCGGCTTTCGACTTGGAGCGCTGGCAGCTGCTAGGTCCTCCAGTAGAGAGGTTGGAATATGGGTACCAACTCTTTTCTGTCGTCTATTTGGGATCCCAAAGGGTAAACAGGCACTAGGGAACCTAGTTAAGCAGAGCCCCAAAGGCAATGACTCTGGTTCTGCCCGCCTGGTTGCAGAAGTTCATATTGGCCTTACTATGTTGTACCCCCCATGAATAAAACCATCCACGTCGTGCCCGCTGACGGACGGGGCTGGCTCGTGTCCAACTATGTCCCAAGTGGTGCTGCTTAAGCAGCGAGAGGATATATGATTCAATCAATGCCAGACTGAAGCCGCGTTTTGTTTGTCCATTTGCCTGTTAAGTAATCATGCTCACCACTTTCTCGATGCAAGCTTAGATTTGGCTGAGGCCTAAGCCTGCAAATGAATGACCTTGAAGACTCTAGTGAGCGTCCAGTGTCTAAGCCTCATGCTCCTGTGCCTTGCTTGCAAAACATCCCACGGGGTTCGACGGCGCTCAACAACAGTCAACAGAATCCGTGTGTGTGTGTGTAACTTACCTTTGGTGATGTCGAGGGTGTTGTATCTGGTCTCCTAGGGTGTTTCTGGGGATCATTCATGATCGGACGTGTCTCTGCAGCGTTGACGTCAAGTGTATGGAAGCCATGAGAGTGACACTCATGGTACTGAGAGGGAAGTCCAGCCCCAACAGTAAAACGGGGCTTCACTATCTTGACCTTACAGCTTGATCTAACCTGACCGCTTACAGTGATCCCCACACTTTCAAAGGGGCAGTTTGAGTTGCAAGTGTGTCCCCACTCCCATCATCAGCTTTCGTGGCTCCCAACGTCCCCGCCTGAGCTTCTGCAGGTCTGGCATAGGGGAAGTCAACTCACTCAAGTCATCTCTGAGTGCATTGGCCCAAAGTCCAAACCTTCTGTTTGCCCCTCAAATGGCCATGGCTCAAAATCCAAATCGGGCCAGTGAACATCAACCAATCCAGCCACTAAAAAAGGCTCTTTTTTGTAAGGTGGTGAATTCACCGAACTCCCCACCAAAATGGGATCAACCAAAACGGTGACATCCTCCAAGCCCGATAAGTACCAGCTCCAGCTCGGGAAGTGAGCATAAGACTCGTCCCGATTTTTGCGGCCTGGAAAAGGAAGACTTAGGAAACGAACCTACGAAACACCAAATTTTCAGACTCCAGAAATCGCTTGGCCCAAAGGAACCAAAGAAAGGACAAGTACCCAATGACAAATGAGATAAAAAACACAACTTCAAAGGGCACTGGAGCTCATTCAACTATCCTTGAAAGGAGCGAGAACTTAGGGACCATTCAAGAACCTTCACTTGGCCCTAGATCCAATTCACCAAGCGGTCCCTAAATGAATTCATCCACCAATTTTTTAGAGACCCCCAAAACAAGTAATCTTCAAGGGTCCCCAGCTAAGTACTTCTCCCAAGAAAGATCGCAATTGCGATGGTGATGGTTCGCTCATGTACCCAGAAATTCCAAGTACCTATCCTCAGGAGGTACCAAGGGACCCCTTTTTCCCCCCCAGAAGCCCTCCTCAGGAGGTACCAAGGGACCCTCAGGTCTTCACCGGCCAATTCGCCACCTGGACTTCCGGGCCCCTCAGGTCTGATTTCAGAGGCTCAGCCGAGGCCTTCGACGCCCGGGCGACGGAAGAATTCCGAACTGATCCCCTGAGCGGGCTACATGGAAACCCTACTAAACAGAAGAAAAAAAACGAAGATGCAACTGGGAACCAAGTAAGTGATCTCCGAATTGCAGGTGAATTGGTGGTTGGGACTCAAAGCAAATTTTGATCGCGCCACAAGTATCAGTATGAGCCTTCTGCTGATACAAGTCCGTCAAAAGCATTTGGAGCATGTTGCAAGGTCATGCGAACCCGATGCGAACCCCTGGGGAACAAACCTGAAGTTCACGAATTTGGTATGCAGCCTGTTTGGACTGTTTTGAAGGGAATCTTAAAGGAAGAAGAAGACCCAAGAGAATCAAGAAGCGAGGGTACCCTTGAAGTGGCCATCAAGGGGCTTGATTTGAACCAAATTGTAACCAGGAACTCAAAAGGTGGAAAGGGGACCACTTCCTATTTCTTTGTGGGGTTCACCTTTTGTGGGGAATCCCGGAAAACAACAAGCGTAAAAACAAAACATGCCACTGAACAGCTGGACAAAAACTGAAGGCCACGTGCCAGCAAAAAATGATTCAGGTTGCCAAAGAGGTAGGCTCATGAGTGTTGCAACATGAAGGGGATGACTCTTCAGCGTGAGCGAATCAGGAAGCCTCACTTGCCTCATTCATGGGACTTTTTCCGTGAAGCACGATGTGCCTTTACTTGGCTCCAACCAAGAAGTAACTCATATATGAGCAACGGTCATTTTCCTTGTGTCCCCCTTTGACATGGGATTTCGCGTAACTCCCGGCCCAAACCAAAAAACAACGGCCTGAACTCCGTGCCCCGGCCTGTCTTCCTTCTTCTTCTCGGTCATGCTGCACACATCTCTTCACGCGCAGAAACCCAGGCCTTCTGTCTCCGATGTTGGTTGGGTCAAGTGCAGTGATCAAAGCTTGAGGAAGTTGTGTTTCTCGATTCAGCAAGCTGGGAGGTGAACATTGACGGGACATGGACACACGTGCGCTGAACTGAAGCCGGTGATTCTGCGGACAAGCTTCTTCGAAGGCTGACAGCATTAAAATCACGGACAGAAAAACCATTCACTGCATCCCGGGCGAAAACTTGCAACTTGGAATGGTCCATGGGGCCCAACCCTGGGTAACTCAGCCCAAGCCTAGGCGGCAAGGTCATCTGAAGATCTCCTCCAGTGGAGAGGTTAGAATAAGTTGGTACCCTTTTTTTCTGTAGTCTATTTTAGTAGGGGGAACCCTCCCCCAAAAAAAGGGTGAGACAGGGCACTACTGGGGACCTAGTCTTGGCTCTGCCATGGATACGCCACGTTGCCACTTCCGATGGGAGGAGATGCGGAGCCGACGCCCGCGTCTCGGAACGAGCTCCACGAAACAAAAGCACGGGCCACCGATGGCCCGCCGACTTTTTTCGGGGCTTTCCAAAGAGGCGCCCGAAAGATCCAACCGAAAAAAGGAGGATCACTCTGAAAAAAGGAAGATCACTCTAACCAAAAAAAAGCACTCTGAAAAAGGATCAGCCGCTCCGACTCTTGGACCCTCCGACGTCTGTCTAAGGGGATGTACTGCTCAATTCGTGGAATGCCCGTAGCTGGAATCCAGCCCATGTCAAAGGGTATGAACTGTCCATAGGTTCCCTCCAAAGGTCTGCTTCGGATGGCTGAACGAATGTCAAGTGACACCACCCAAATAACTGTGCATAGCTAAAAACTGAAACCATGCATCAAAACACTGCTAGCAGAACAACTTCGCTTCGGGGTGCATGTCTCTGAAGTGCAACCCGGCTACAAGGACAAATGACAAACGCCATTGTCCGCCTTAAATTCCATCGACAAGGGAGAAACATCCGAATGATTCGTGTGTGAATGCTGTGAATTCACCATTGAGAATGCTTGAACATGGACAGCTCTTTGAGTCCAGTAGAGAGGTTAGAACAAGGGTACCCTCTTTCTGCAGTCTATTTTAGCAGGGGAACCCTCCCCCAAAAAAGTTGGTAAAAGGGGACTACTGGGGGACCTAGCCACCTTCAAAGGAGTCTCCGGATCCGAAGGGAACGTGACTGGAGGTTAAACATGTCGGTCCTCGTGGCCGCAGTCAGAAAAGTGTGGCTGCGGTTTCCGAGGGATCCAAAGCGAATCCCCCACACAAGTTGAGCTTCCGGCACATGTTTTGACCTACCCTGGTTGAGGATTTCTTTGAGAACCAAGCTTCAGGCAAGAAATCAAACAGCACAAGCGTGGCTCGAACCGAGGAGATGTGTCGATGGCCTCCCATCTGGCGCGCTTCTCTTGAGATCCGAAGAGCGCAGACTGTGCTCCAAATTGACCAAATGCCGAGGGGCCGTCAGGCCGCTGCTTTGTCACCCCCCCCCAAATGGGCAAAATGGGAATTGCCACAGGCCGCGTCAAGTTCTGAAAGAGGGCAAACCTGGGTAAACATGTACCCTTTTGGACCTGTGGAAATTCGAAGGGGCTTCCCGGTTTGACACGCCGCATATGAAGCTGGCCATGGAGAATCCATGGACCTGCTTCAAGTTGGGTTTGCCAACCCCGGATATCGTGCATGTGGCCAGGCAGGTGCCGGCTTTTAATGAATGACAGCGGTCAGCGGCTTGGCCGGCAACGCTGTCTCAAACGAGCCACCCTCGACATTCCTTGTGTTTGATGTTGGACGAAGCCCCAGTGATTTGGTAACGTCTTCCCTTGACACAAGATGATGGGGAATGTTGCCGTTGGCCACATCCTTTGCGCGCGCATTCGTGCTTGTGTTACGTCTTCGTGCTTTCGTTACCTCATGTGTTCCATGTGGCTTCCTGGATTCTTGACTCAAGTGCAGCAGAATTATCCTGGCTGTCCTCAGATCCCCTGCAAAAAGTTTAAATTTTAGTGGGTTTTAGCGGGTGCAATGGACACTCCCACTAAACACTAAAAGGATCTAAAAAGCTAAGGAACCGGATGGCTGGGAGCCACCAAGTTATTGTTTCAACGTTTGAGCTTGGCAACTCAGGTTGGTCAGGCTATGCGCTTGCTCAGTCTTCCCGCAGCCGCCACTGGCGTTTGGCAGGCTGCTCTGGAGGCCTGGCAATGGATCAAGCGCGGCGTGAATTCAGCTGGAGGATCATACTATCCATTTGCTTAAGTCCCCCGAACACAAAAAATCCAGAAGTGATAGATTCCCTTTAAAACTAACAGGGGAAAATACAAAAAAATGTAACCAAATGGAAGCTAATCAGGGGTGTGTTCTAGTAGGGAACCATTGTAAGCACAAATCATTAATGAGCATGGTCCTCAGGATTAACCCAAAGCCAAGATTAATTATGAGGCAGGCTTCACAAGAAGACCAACATGAAACCACTTGAAGAAGGAGCACTGTTTCAATTCAAACACGGATAACCAAAGCAAACCATTTGGAAGATGATAGAACACGGCAAATGCGCGTTGGCAACCCACCACAGGGGACCATGTATACCAAGACGTTCCTGCAACTTAGCATGGAGTCCGAAAAGGGCCCCACGAGAAGACTACAAGACAACTTTGCGGGTCCCAGCTTAATCCGCATCTTCCTCCAGTTCCTCACCCAGGTTGCCATGAGCAAAAAGGTCTCGGGGGGCTACGTGCGGAGCAACCGAGTCCATGGTCGAACCTGCTCGAGCGGCTTGGATCCGTGCGTTCTGGGCCGTCCGTTTTCAGATCCCCCGCTAAAAGTGGCTAACTCTAGGTGGGGCAAACAACAATTCCCACCAAACAACAGTAAACGATCTAAAAATCTAAGGAACCGGATGGCTGGGAGCCACCAAGTGTTGGGAGAAACTGCTACAAAGGAAAAGAACCTTTGCCTTCGGACCGCCAGGATTGAAGAGAGCACCTGGCGGGCTACGAAACAAAATCCACTCCCTGGCGCCTGTCATCCGTGGCTTCCCGCTTGCGCTTGGCCTCACAAAGTGGCGGGAAAGAAGCGGAGACATAGCAAAGGCTGAGCTCAATTGTGCGTCCCAACCTTGAGTGATCAGCGAAAAAGCAGGCACCTTGATTTTTTGAAGGGAATCCCACCTCACAGAGAAAAAAGCAGGACATGCCACACTGGAGGTGGGGCTTGTTCAAGATCCACATCCAGGGATGGTGTTGTGGCCATGTTCTAAAAAAATCACGCCAAACACCTCAGCTTAGCTTGCGGATCTGGCTGTCGCTGTCGCCATCCTGCCTGTCATCGTCAACCCGGCTGCTATCGCCCTCCCCCCGCGCTTCATTGCTCGCTTCTTTGCTGAGAGGACAGCGCTCACAGTTCCGTATTTCCGCCACGGGTTACACGAAAGGAAGGCATCACACAGCTGAACCAAAAACGCTGTGTCAACAACATTTGGCCCCAAGAGGTATGGTGGCACCAGGCCGCGTCCTTTTCTTTGAGGCTGCCCCTTTCCTGGCAAACCACAGGGAAAAGCGCCCGGTTGACGGGGACTCCTTCCACGAGAGCCCAGAGCTGGACATACCCGGGCCGCCTCCGGCGCCGGCGCTGGACTCGCCGCCTTCCGGCGCTTCGGCGGCGGTGTGGCGCCGCCTGGCGGTCCGTGGCAGGCGGATTGAACTCGACACAGGTGGAAGACACCGTTTTAGCAAGAAACAGGGGATGGGTGGTGGGGTGAGGGGGGGGGAGGGGGGGTGGGGGTGAGGGGGGTCGCGAGGTGAGAGGAGGGGGGTGGGGGGAGGGTGGGGGCGGGGGGAGAGGGGACTGTCAGAGTTGTGGCAAGGGCCCTTGATGCACGGAGCCATGCGGCACTGGCCGTGCCCTCTCTGTGCAATGATGAAAATGGTCGGCCACGATACAAACAAGACACCCATCCAAGAAAGTATAATTGCATGACCCCTCGGCAAAAGTTCAAAGCCTAGGATGTGGATTTATTTGTGCATCATGTGGGCGTTCTCTTTTTTGACGGGTACCCGGGTACCCCCCTGTTGTGGGTTTTTAAAGGGGAACCCAAAAAAGAGACAAGCATCTTGGGGAGTCCCAGATTTTAATTCAGACACTACCTGCAGTTGCTTAAGTCCCCCGAAAAAACTAAAAACGAAAAATCCAGTAGTGAAATCGAATCCCTTTAAAACCAGCAGGGGAAAAAACATCTTAACCAAATGGAAGACTACCGTTTTCGCTCAGATCCCCAGGCCTCGCGGCAACGGCGCCAGCCACCCCTCCGCCGCTGCGGCGGAGTGAGCCAAGGGCGTCGACTCAAAGGCCGCAGGCTCGACCGTGCGCTTCAAGCGCCGACGGGCGGTCGACTGCATCTTGGCCTCGCAGGTTTCAGGGGGCGAATGAGAAATGGAACGACCCCCCCCCCAAAAAAAAAAACATGCCCCCCAAGAACATGCCCTATGGTTCCCTTTAAACACATATTCTACAGTATATGGTTTCCTGTAAAAGGGAATCAATCCCCAGGTACCCTGAAACATTCGACTGAGCACCAGCAAGTTTTGTGCGTATGGGTTTGATGGTACCCGTGTTAGATTGGCTTAAAGGGAAGCCAACGGTAAAACCACCATTGCTTTGCCAGAAAGCCCGTCGAATTTCATTTCCAGTGGCAGGGCTGCAGCATCAATTTTGACTTAAGCCAAGGTGCAGGGGCTGCACCCAACAAGGGAAGCTGTGCTTGCTCCAGAAAAGTTGGACTCCGGGAGAGCCGCTTGGCCAGTTTCGGGCAAAATTCCATCACGCTTGGAGGCCTCCAGCAACACCAATCGCATTCCGAGGCAGGCGAACCCATCAATCACCCTGAAGCCACGACATGCGCAAGAGTTGGCGTGATTCATCCCCTCAGAGCCCTTTGAATTGTAATTGTTTTTTGGGGAGGAAAAAAAACACGTCGCAACAGGGAGAGAGAGAAAGAGAGAGAGAAATATGTTATGCTTGCTCCAACCTACTTAGTGACCTCCTCAAAATCGAGTCGCCCCCTGGTTTTCCCGAAAAGGGAACCCTCAAAACAAACACACACACACAGACACAAAGAGTCACACGCACATGGGTGACATGAACCGTTCTTGTATGGTGTTAAGCGTAAACGAAAAGGACGCCTGGAGAGGTCCCCAATTTTGAGAATCCAAGTGTTGGACCCCCTTTTGGTTGGCAAAAGGGAGAAGCAAAAGAAAGCCAAGCATTTCATGGGCTTCTTCCATTTGCTTTAGCCCCCCCCAGAAACAAAAAAACAGTGATAGATTCCATTTAAAACCAACAAAAGGACAATAAAACATATTCTTAAGCAAATGATTGCAGCAAATGGAAGGTTTTTCTTGGAGATCCAGTTCTCATTGGCTCCAAAGCACGCGCCAGGTGTGGGATCGCTTCAGCACGCGGTCGGCCCCGCTCTGCTGCAGCGCCGTCACCAGCGGCCAAGCACCGGGAGTCGAGGCAGGGGCTTGCCAAGCGCCAGGTCGCCTCAGGCTTGCTGGTGAGATAGGCAGGAATGAAAAAAACGGAACCCCGAGAATTGCCACATGGTTTTCCCAATCCCCTTCCAAAACCATGCAAAGTATGTGGGAAATGACCACTTCCGTGATACAACAGTCGGGGCCTAACTTCCCAAAGACTGACCTTGTGATTTTACCATTGTCAAAGCCACCCCCTAAGTGGTAGGATAAAAGAAACAACCCCAATTTCGGACTTCGATATCCCCTAGAAACGGTCAGAATAGTGACCCCAGCAAAATAATGTAACCCAAAACCATGTAATAATGTTGACCCCCTATTAATCAACCCCGGTTTATTCATAGGGGGGTGGGGGCCCTTCCGAAAAGTGATTCAAACCCAGGGACACCCCCCTACTAATAAACTGGGGTTGAATAATATGGGGTCAACATGAAAGAGTTGCCAAGGCGGCCCCGAGCTTCTTTCCAGAGCCTCGCAGAGCTGCTCCGTTGCCATCTTCTGGGGGTGTCTTGCATTCTTTCAATTCCAGGGCTGTGAGAAATGACCACTTCTGTGATGCAACGGAAAGGGCTTCCCAAAGACTCTAACCCCCCGCAGCAAGGGGCATATTCCCTTGTGTGATAAACCCCTTGATCTCACAACTCTGATGTAAAGAGTTTCCAAGGCGGTCGCATCGAATTATGGTTGGGAGTGTCCCTTACCCTCGCTCACTTACTCAGGTTTTGATTGTGGCTGACATGGCTTCCATACAGCTTGCCCCCCCCCAGCGTACAAAACAATAACGATTTAAACGTGATCCCGAATAAAGTGACACAAATTACGGCCCACTAGCAAATGACGAGGCCCATAATTCAATCACATCAGATTCACAGGGGCTATGTTTTCATCACAAGTAAAGGAGCGCCTCTTAACTGGAACACGCAACCCCTGGTTGACTAATCCTGATCCCAATTTGCACATGTATATCTCCAGCATAGGCTAAACTCTTGTCTCTGGCACCGGCCCAGAACCGCCCCCCACCCGAGATAGGGCCAGACTCATAGGTGTTGCGGTTGGCGGGAAAGGCAAGTGACAAGGGGCCGAACGCTTCGGAGGAAAACGGAGCTACATATTGATTTGGGGAGATGGGGGCAGCTTAAGCAATCATTTAAGAAGCAGGGAAAAGGGCCATGATTCATTGCCAGTGGGCCTGGTCAGAGTGTGACAGGGTTTCTTATATGACATGGCTCAACTGCTCCTGAACTTACGCATGTCAATACATGCTGAGGGCAGCGATGGGCGTATCTTGTCTAAGGGATTGAGTATTACTTGTCTGTGTCGGATGGACTTCCTAGCCCAGCTGCTTGGTTTTTGAACCCGCCACCAACAAAACAATCACCGGGTGCCACTGGGCATCTGAGCAAAACATGCTTTGCGGTCGCACCCTCGCCTTGTACGTGCTTTATGTGGCAAGCAGCAAGGCCAACTGAAGGAAATCCACATGTTTTTTGTGCGGGTCTTCCGC